CAGTTCTTTTTAAAGTTAACCTGGCGCTCAGACTTTTCCCTGCACCATCTGACACTGTCGAGAGCTTTCCAGCAGGGGGCGCCCACACGTTTCTTTGTTTCACTTCAAAAGAAAAGTTTGCGGCCGTGTATGCAGCTGAAGGCCAGAGGGAACCAAGGCTACCGTGTCACACATTTCACAGCTGACTTCACTTTCTCTGTGCGATGTGACACGAGTGGAGGCCGTACAGTGTGTTCTAATCCGAGGAGCAGGCACCGGGCCCGATCTCTACCTCCCAAAGCGCTGGGTGCTGCGGGCTCCTCCGTAGGAGAGGACAGATACCTTTGCAAGGAAGTCCTCCTGATGACCAGCCCAGATCTCCCTATCACTTAACTCCCACCCCAGCCATCCACTCACACATTTCTCTAAGCAGCGCTGTTTTTAACTTACTCTGTAGCAGGACTGGGCTCAACCCATAAGTTCTCCTAGCCCTGGGGGCCCACAGGATCCTGTAGGGAAGAAGACTCATCTACTGCAGCCAGGAAGGTCAGCAGAGGCCCACAGGGCTATGGCTCATGGGAACGCAACAGACCAGAGAAACAGATCATCTACCCCTTATGCTTGGCTCCCACATGCAGCCGAACTGGTTGACTCCTCACTTAACAAGCAAAGACACTAAGGCTCAGAGATAGGAGTCGCATCATTAGTTAGGGGACAGAGCAGGGTGCACACCCAAATCCATGCCTGCCTGTTGCCCAGCCCTTCCTCACGGGCTTGAGGCCTCCCTGTGCCTGTCTATGAGGAAGGGGACGGCCACTCTTGCCCCCGATGCATCTTCAGCACCTAGTGAACTATGTGGCCTGTAGTAGTAGTTCAAGGACTGTTTATTTAATGAATAAAGGACCTTCAGAGATCATATCATTTCTACTTTTGAACTGGAAATACAAAAGGTGAATGATTTATCCAACAGCTACCTCAGATCTTTTACCAAGGAGTTATATATATATTTAAGTCCTGAAAAGCAAGCAGGTAGAAACACATCATGGTCAAGGTTCTCAGTTGACTACGCCTTGGAGAAGCCTGCCTGTTCACACCTGGAGGCCAAGGCCATTCTCCACCCAGGGGCAACTTGCCCATGGCAGGCACGGCCCAGTGCCAAGAGCAGGCTCTGGAAGCCGGGGTTGCTAGTGCAAATGAGAGAGGTTGGTGGCTGGCCTTCCCACTCCAGAAGGACAGCCTACTTGGCTCAGACCTCAGTCTCCCGAAGTACAGGTACATGGGCCTCCACCTCCCATCCCAGGGCACTCACGGGTGGGGTGGGGGATGGGTGTACTCACAAACAGCAGCAGACACTTGTTCTCGCGGACGGCCCCACAGCAGCCCAGGAAGCCGAGCAGGAAAAGCAGGCCCCCCATGGCCAGGAGGATGTAGGCACCCGTGATGAGCAGGGGGTTGGCAGCCACGATCTCTCGGAAGCCGGTGGGGTCGACCATGACCCAGATGCCAATGCCTAGCAGGCAGGCCCCACCCAGCTGCTCCCAGGTCCAGTCAGGAGGAAACAGAAGAAACAGGCAGGCGCGGAGGTTAGACACCCCACAGACACCATTCCCTGAGCGAGGCCCCGGGGCGGAGGTGGTGAGCCCCAGTAGGCAGGGATTCCACTTGCTGCAGGAGCCAGTGTCCCAGCACTCGTCACCGCTTCGAATTTCCCTGCTTACTCTGATCTTAAGGGCAGCATGCATCGTTTAAACCCAGTCTCTGACCCACACACCATCCTGGCCTGCTGTGAACCATATCGTGTTGAGTTTATGTGCCACTTTTATATTCTCCTTAAAGGTCAGCGCTACAGGATAATGGGGTCATCTAGTCCAACCCTCAGATTCCACACTGAGCTCCAGAGAAGGCCAATGACTTGCTGAAGGTCACACAGCAAGTTTGAGGCAGAGCCCGGGCTGAATCCTGGGCCTCCCTGACTCCAGCCCCGAGGATACTCACCAAACGCCATGACACCCACGCTGTGCTTGCACCCTGCTAGGGGTGGGAAAACACAGACAGGCTACCCCCTCTGTCCTCAACAGGGGCTTTCAGTCAGGCTGGGCGCCCCACTCTCAAACCCTTGGCTCAAGAGCCTTGTTATGTCTTCGTCTGCATGGCCCGTCTCTCCACGCCTTACTCATCTTTGGAGGAAGGCAGCTTAGACCAGAGAAAGGGCTCTGCCACTCATTAGCTCTGAGACCTTCGGGAATGGCTTAACCTCTCTGAGCCATAGCTTCCTCGTGGTTAAAAGAAGAGACAAATTCCCACCTCCCAAGGTGGCCCTGAGGAAGAGAGGACAGAATGGATGTGAATGTACTTAGCAGGTTTCAATAAATATCTATCTGTTCCCTCTGTCCTGGGCACAGACAAGCACTGGAAGTAGAGCTGTTGCAGGAGAGCCAGTTTGGCATTGGATTTTGAAGGCTGCAAAGTGTTTGAAATCCCTGTGTGGTGGGAGGACCGGAGAAATGACAGATGGCGGCTAAGAGCAAACTGCTGAGCTGTGGCTTGGCTGAGAGGGGTCTGCAAACTGGAGCGGGGGTTGCTGAATGACTTGGGGCAAGAGATGATATTTTAGGTGCAATCGGGGCAGGGGAGGGACCCCAGAGGTCTGACGGACCCAGCGATAGGGGAGAGACAAAGCAAAGACCAACAGAGATGGCCAATGACAGAGGCTACATTTTTGCCCTCCGCCGTGCAATGCCTCTCTCCTCGGTGTCCCCACCAACGTCCAGTAAAACCTGTGCCCTTCTTCAAGGCTGTTGGAAGTTTCGGGGTTTGACAATTGTGTGTTGAGATCTGCTTCAAGGAGGGTTCGGGCATAGACTGAACTACCCAGGTGACCTAGCATCGTTTCGGGTGAGGAAACTGGGGCTTGCCTGAGGTCACCTAGCTTAGAAGTTGGATTTAGATTTCAGGTCTATAGGGCTCCCCACTCTTTAGAATTACCAGGCAGGGGAGGGAACCAAAGGGAGTTGTTGAAATGTATAAAAAATAGACAGATAGAGTCAGTCTTGACCAGAAAGAGGCCTCTTTTCATAGTGACGCTGTCCCTGGAGGACATTAGTGGATATTCATTCATCCAGATTTTGGCTGCACTGAGGTCAAAGGTTGAGGTGAGGTCAGGAAAGTCTTCAGGGGCTTGAGATGCCAAGAATGTGTCTCTCTCTTGGGAAAGACCATGGGCCTGAGCTGAGAGCCCTTGGTAGGCTGCTAGCAGGTGGGTTGTGCTGGCCATCTGAGCACTCAGGGCTCTGTCCGTCATGGAGAGAATCCGTAGGTTGGATGGGGGTGGAGCTAAGCTACTGAGTGCTGACACACTGCAGGCACTTCCTAGTCTTGCTTAATTTTCAAAAAAACCTATTGAGGTAGATAATTAAGAGATGAAGATACCCAGGTTCAGAAAGGTGAAATATGTTTCAAATTACTAGCTGGTGAGATGCAGAGCTTGGCTTTGAATCTGGGTCTCCCAGTCCCAGAGAGTTTTCCAGTCTCATCAGGTTCCCCTGTATCTCTGATGTCTATAACACTCTTGGGGAGGGGGGGGTGGTCAGGGCTAGGTGGGTCTCCCTCTGCTGCCCTCTGATCACCTCCATCTCCTCCTTCTCCCCTAATTCCCACCAGGGGTCAGATCCCAAGACAGGGCCCAGGACTGAGACCCTCATCCTTTGTCAGAGGAGCCGAACCATCCCAAGTTCTGTGCAAAATGTGTCTCCTAGGACATCAGGCTCTTTGGAGTGGAGCGGGCACCGCTGGGGGCCTTGCCTCCGGGAAATCCTGGCTGGGCAGGTAGGGCTGACGATTTCCAAGCAGCAGTCACTTCCTCCCACCCAGCAGAGGCCTAGGGAGGCCCAAGGCACGTTCCAGGAATACTTACAAATATGAAGAAATTAAAAACGAACATCAGGTACTTCATGCAGCTCAGACAGTCGCCTTCCATGATGCTCTGCCTGTAAAAGAGCAAGGCTCCTCAGTCCTCCCGCTGGGGCATCCCACCCAGAAAGAACCCCTGCCTCACTCCTCCCCAACCGGGGGAGGGGCGGTCCCAGAGGCCCGCCTGACCTTGTAGTGAGCTGGGGAGAGAGGGAGGCTGAAAACAACTTCCTCTTTGTCCTGTGGGGCTAGCCTGCTTGGATCAAGCTTATGGCTATCATTCATTTGCTGTGTGGCCTTGGGCGAATTACTACCTCTCTGAATCTTATTCTCTCCAACTTGAAAATGGAGATTAAAAACAGAAGCTTCCTCTCAAGCAATGTGTGAGGATTAACTGAAATAATGCAATAACGTGCTTAGCATAATGTCCAACACAGGGCAAAGGCTCAACAATGCTACAGGATGATAGAATTTGGTTGCTGAAGTGAACCTTCTACTTGGTAGATGAGAAACTGAGGCTCAGAGCCCTGAGGGACCTGACAAGGTCATGAATCAGGATCAGAACCCAGGCCTGACAAACTTCCCAACACTGTACACGCCCTCAAGCCCACAGGACTTGCCCAGTGAGGAGGGATGCTGCAGGGAAGAAGTGGGGGCACCTAGCTGGGGGCCCAAGGCCTTCTCCTAGGGCCAAACCTTCCTGGTGCCCTGACTACGTCCAGCATCCCATCCCCAGCCCTGCCCTTGTTCCAGGCCCTGTCTTGCTGGTGGGCAGTGGGAGGACCGAGATTCAGTGGGGGCCCAGGGGTAGGGCTAGCCTGCTGTCTACGCAGCATCTCTTCTGATTGGCCTGTGCTAGTGCCCATCAGGTGCTAAACACCTTGACCATCATACCCAAACCCAGGCCCTTCCTCTGTCAGGCTTGGACTTGGATGGGTCTTTGAGGGGCAGACGGGGCTGCCCTGATGAGATGCTGAGAGGTCTGCAGGGGGCCAGACTCTGGCGTCCTTCCCCTCTGCCCACCCAGGCAAAGCTGCTCTCCAGGGTGGGATCCAGCTTTCAAAGGATTCTGGCTATTTAGCAATTAAAGGGTATAATAAATATGGCAGCTCATAAATGGGCTATCTGTATTTATTACATCCCACATTCATTAAAGATTATATTGAATGGGCAGCTTGTGGCATGCTAGGCTCCCAGATAAATGCAATAAAAGGTGTGTCTCCTGGGAAAAGCCTCCAACAACCTCCAAAGTGAGGCAGGTAGAAAAACAGATGATGTGAGCCAGAGGGTGAACAGAAATATGGAGCCCTGGGTTCCAGCTCCAGGGCAGGGTGGGAAGGGGCTCTGGCCCAACTCTGGCAGGCTTAGTTGGTGTTGCCTGGGTCAAGTTCCCTAACTGCATGTATCCGAGTTTCCTTGTCTTTAAAATTAGTATAAAAACAATGCCTTCCTGATAATGCATGGAAAATACTGAGCACTGGGCTTGGTCCATGGTAGCTAATACATCAACAGCTAGTAATAGCTGGCATACCTTGAGTTCTTACTATGTGCCAAGAAACATGCACAATCTCATTTATTCCTCATAAAGCTCCAGGATACAGGTAATGTCATCTTCATTTTTCTGGTGAGAGAACTGAGGCTCAGAGAGGTGGCATCACTTATTGGAGATCACACAGCACGGAAGTGCCTGAGCCAGGATTTGAACCCAGGTCTGTCCTAATCTGGAGCCACAACTCGTAATCATTGTATTCAATGAATGCTAATTCCTTGCTCCATTCATCCACCCTCCCAAATTCAGGCCTGTCCTCATACCTCCTATGCCAATTTATTTCCCACTGTCCAGGAGAAACAGCCTCCGGGGCCATCATCCCTGACCAGGCTGAAGTCAAAAGACCAACTCCTGCCTGCTCCACTCCCCACCGGGGACTTCTGATGATGGGGACACACTTCTACAGCCAATTGGCTAGACAAGAGTGACAGACACATGGAATCTCCAATGCCTGGATCTGGCTGTTAGCTCCATCCACCCACAGAGGCTTTTGAAGTTGATATCACCACACAGTTCCATAATTTACCCCTAAGGAGAGCGGGATCATAAACAATCTCAGGAAGGTGGGCTGAGAAGACACCTGAGACCATGAGGTCCAAGGGCTTAATTGTTCCTCAAAAGAGATGTTCAAAAGGCAATTACAAAGGAGACTGAGAGAACTTTCTGCTACATGGGAATGACATGCCCTCTCTGGGGCCAGGGCTGAAAGGCCCACTGGGGCTTCCTCATTCCAGGGATCCAATAAAGGACCCCAAGCGGACAATATCAGTGTGAGTGGGGGCTACAGGGTCAGACCGGACCTGGTTCTTCCACTTTCTAAGCTTATGACCTTGGACAAATCACATAACCTCTTTGGGCATTTGCTTTCATGTCTGCAGAATGGAGCCAGGAATGCTGACCTCCACAGCAAATTATACAGATGGAGGATTAAATGATATGGTATGTAGAGCTCCTCGGGCCAGGCCTGACACACCTTTCCTCCCTACTTCCCAGCTTCTCTCTCTGTGCTCCCAGATACCAACCAGATGCATTAGCTGTAGTTCTCCACGTCATGAGAGAGAAGAACTCTGACATGGAGAATTTCTGAGCGTGGAGAATGAGTATGGGCAGTGGTTCTCAAACTGGGTTCCCGGAGACTAACTATATCCTAAAGCTATTTTCAGGTTATCGAATAGGATCTCAGAAATCATCTCACCTCTGGCTGGCTTAAGGGAAAAGTGTCTTGGGTTCTGGAGCAAGTAAACCACCCCAGGATGGGGGACTCTGTTTCTCAGTTTGTTCAGAAGCTCTGGCCACCAGGTATATATGACTTTCAAGTACAAAAACTAAGGAGAAACTTTGACATGTACTTAATAAATGACTTGGTAAAGGCAGCACTGTTTGGTAGACAAATCCTTTAAATCTTGGGGCACAGAGGGATGCAACACAAGAGTCAGCGTCACGGGCAAACCTGACTTGGTGTGAACGCAACTCCCCAATGCACAGGGAGAGCGTGCAGACCAGTTTAGGTTCTGTGGTTCTAGCTGCCCTCCCACGTGGGTGTCTGCCCAAGGGAGAACATGGGTGGCAGTCCTGGACCTGCTGCTGTGGATCTCACAGTCTCCGGCCTCCTGCACCCGTCCCAACATCCCCACACTTGGGCAAGGGAAGGTTTCGAGGTTACAGATGGGTGTTTTCCCCTCAGACGCAACTGACTGTTTCGTGTATAACAAACCCAGGTGTTTAAGAGCTTTAAGGAGATCTAAGGGAAACTTTTACTTGATACTACTGTTTGTGTAAGTGCTGACTTAGAACCTAGCCTTTGTCTAACTTATGTTATCAGCATTTCAATAAAAGATGTTCTTCGTCATAGAAAGGCAGGGCAGCCCTGATCTGCCCAGTACTCTCACTCTAGAAATAAGACAACTGAGGCTGAGAAAGGGAAAGGGGATCTGGCTAAGTTACAAAGCCAGTTAGTGAGGGATCTGAGCCTGGAGCCCTGTTTCTTAAAGCCCAGGCTAGTACCCGCGGGCGCACTACATGCTCGATGTTTTAGTTTATGTAGGTAGTATGCGTCTCCCTTTCTACGTTGTTAGAATGTGTGCTTCCTAAAGACATGGACCTGTTTTGTTTACTGCCATGTTCCTAGTGTCTGGAGCAGTGCCTTGCACTCCGTTAATCTATCTGAATGAATGAATGAATGAATGAATGATGAGAAAAGAGAAAACAGAGAACAATGGAGAGTCAGCAAATCAGAGAAATAGACAGAGACAAGTCAAAAAGAGAAAGATGGAGAAAGACTGAAGGAGAAAGACAGGGAAAAAGAGAGAGACAGCAAGAAATGATAAAGGAAGAGACAGACTGGAAAGGATTGAGTGGAGATGGGGCGGCATCAGGGGCTGGAGCAGAGGGGCACAGAGAGAAGCGGAGGCAATCGCTGAGTTGTCACCTGGGCAGTTCTTTAGGTGTCAGCAGGACAGAGTCTCCTGGTCAGAGGGGCTCCCGTATATTTCTTTTATTGGCCCAGCTTGTCCTATAAGAAGAGAAAATACTCAATTACCATAGGAAATCATTAAGGAGCAGCCGCGTTCAAGAAGCTGTTTATGAACACCTGCCCTCCAGACACATAGTCAGGACAAGTGCCTCGCTAATCTGGGCTCATTCACACTAATGAAAAGCACTCAACTCCTGGGCCCCTCTGGCCAGGGCGGCCTGCATGGGGTGCCCACCTTCTGCCCAGATGGCAGGTCCTGGGTACCCTCACTGGGGTTGCATGGGAAACCACATCTTTAAGAGACTTGTACTTTCTGGCATGGGCTTCATCTATGCTGACATGCTGCCTGTGGCTGATAAACTGGGAAGAGACAATGGGTGTGAGTGGCCCACACACCTGGAGCTACCTGGGCATCTACAGTGATGCCTCAGCAGAGTACCAACAGGGCCCTGTTCATAAAACCCCCTCCCCTAGAAACCCTGACTCCCAGGAGAGAGAAATTTGGTGCTGGAAAAGGTTTCTTAGCTTTGCATAAGGATTTGCCAGAAGGCTCCTTTAGAGGGCCAGCTCCTAGCAGTGGAAATAAAGGTTTGGTTTTAGGAGTCAAATGAGCCCAGATGCAGAGTCCCATTCTACCGCACTTGTGGGGAATTCCACAGCCAGGGCCTGCTCAAACACTGGGTTAGAGGACAGTTCCAGGAAAAACCTGAGGCCCTGGGGGAAGTTGGGCTGCGGGGGGAATCCCCGTAGGAAAGAAGGGGCGATTTCTGGCTCTCAGGTGCCAGTTCTGATTCCTCCCCATCCATGTCAGTCAGCACTCCATCTCTGCAACTTTTGCAAAGTCTGAACGGCACCAGCCTTGGCCAGGTCCCTTGAGACCTTTGGAAAGTCACTACCCTCCCTGAGATGCTCAGTTCTCCTCTGAAAACTGTGATTCTCAATTTTGAAGACAAAAGTGGTTGTAGGAATTCATGCTATGAAACACATGAAATGAAATGTTATGAAAACACTTGGAAACCAATAAAGCACTATTCCCATGGGGAGCTATAATTACCGGCATCATCATATATTAGAAATAAGTGGATGACCACATTTACCTGTAATCAATGGAGATGGGCATGAGGGAGAACAATGGACATATGGCTTAGTCAAGATAGATAGAAACATCTTTCCCTTAAGTAGCCGCAAATTGAAATCAATGCTTATAGTTTTGTGATAACTAAACCTAATAATTACTAATAGTATTGAGTATTTACCACGTACCAGATTCTGCTTAGCGTTTCTCTTGCATCCTCTGACTTCATCCTCACCTAGGAGGTGGGTACCACTACTATCTCATCTTACAGACGAGGAAACTGAAGCTCAGAGAATGTAATTAACTGGCCTGAGTTTATTCACAAAGTTAGTAAGACATGCCATGATTCAGGCCCATGTTTGTTGGACTTCGAACCAGAGCTCCTGACAAACACCAGTCCGTGGATGTGGCACCAGAGAGGACACCAGAAAGAGGGAGTACTATGCCTCAGTCCCCAAAGTGTTTAACCTGGTGCTGCTCTTCCCAGAATCAGGCAACCAGGCACAGAGTCCCAGGGAGTCAGCTAGCCTCCATCCTCCCCCGTGCCAGCTGGAGGTCTCTGGGGGATGACCCGATCCTGCCATCCCGTGACAGATGGGAGTCCTGAGGCCCAGAGAGGGGCAGAGATGGGTGAGGCCACGCAGCGCCTCACGGTTCTTCTCTTCAGGCCCCTGCCTAGGCCAGACAGCTTTATTAATCTTGCCCCTCCCACTGACCCAGATGGCGACTCAATCCCATCTGCACAGAGTGGGCCCAGCAGGAGTTCTCTGATTAAGAAGAACAGCTCGGTTCATAAATCACTCCTTTTACTCTCACTGCCCTGGGCCGCTGGGCATACTTTCTGGAGAGAAAAGGAAGCATGTGGGCATGAGCGATGAAGAAGCCCTCATCGGGGGAAGCAAAAGGAGACCTGGGCTGTTGTAGAGTGAGAAGTGTCTTGTATGCCCCGGCCAGGTGAGGGCGCTGTGATGCGGGACGGAGGCTCAGGGTCCTCACCTGGGTTCCAACCAGCGGAGGCTGGGCCCTGTCCAACTGTGAGATCTTTGTCAGCCTCCTCAGCTCCTGAGCCTCCATCTCCCTCATCTGTGACATGGGGATTCTCACATCTAATTCCCAGGGTCACTGAGAGAATCGAAGGGGATGATGTAGGTGAAAGCACTTTAGCGGCTGCACATCCAGTTCCTTCCTGTGTGTGCCCGACACCTACTAGCGCCAGCCCTGGGCTTGGTCCAAGGCACATAAACCAGAGACGGGTGCCTTCCCTTCCTCAAGCACGTGCTCAAGTCGAGTGAGAGTCAATGACCCGGTAGTTGGAGAGGAGTGTTAACAGCCACATCCACCAGGTATTTTGGGCATGGCCGGCAGAGAGCAGCAAGCCCTGGAGGGGGAGCCTAGAAGCTGGGAGACGGGCGTGCGGGGAAGGCAGGGCGGGACCAACATTTACGGGGCCCCAATGACAAAGCAAGGCGCTGTGCCATGGGCTTTTGCCTGTAACGGTCCTACTTGAATCCTCCAAAAAGCTCTACAAAATAGATGTTATTATCACCGTTCCCTTTACAGATGAGAAAACTAAGGCTCTGACGGGCTAGAAAGGTCCCGGAGCCAGAACTGACACCCAGGTATTCCTGACTCTAAGACCCACATTCTCCTTCATCGGGATGGGGGCCGAGGCTGGTCAGAATAACAATGATTCTTGCCATCAAGTTCAGAGCTGAGGGGGTAGGACTTATTTGCCCGCTGGCTATGCCTGCTGGGCCTCGTTTGAGACAGACGGTCTCGTAAACAAGCAATTGGCCCTAAATCCTGGTATTCCTGGTGATGGCATGGACACGGGGACATAGACACAGCTGAATGGGGAATAAAATCTAAATTAGGCTTCCGAGGGCGGCACCTTGACGGTGAATGGTCCCAGGCAGCCTGCTGAGGATGCAGTGGGATCCTAGATGACAGTTTCCCCTGGTCCCCAGAATCACTGATTCATGACTGTCCGGGGGCAGAGAGCATCTGCGGCGTCTGGAAAGGCCCTGTCTGTGGTCTGTGACTTGAACCTCAGTCCCTGCCACAAGCTCTTTCCGCTGCCCTACCTAGAACTTCCACAGGCAGTTTCCATCAGAGAATCTTCGAAGAAAGAAATGCCTTGATGAGGGCTAACACCAGCACCTTCTTTTCTCATTGGGGATGCTGAGGCCCAGAGAGTGGCAGAGTCTTGCCCAAAGTCACACAGCAGGGCTAGAACCAGGAGCTCCTGAGTTTAAGCCTGCGGCTTTTCCCACGGCTCAAGGCAGCCCTCTCAGACTGAGATCTTAATTTATTTTGACTTTACACATATAACCTCACTGAATCTTTCCAACCCCGAGAGATGGACACTCGTGTTTTACAAATGAGGAAAGTAAGGCTCAGAGAGATAAAATTACTGGCCCAAAGTAACATGGTAGGTTGGAGGAATTGCTGGGACAAAGCAGAATTCCTCATCCTTGTGCCCAGAGGTGTGGCCTCGGAGGCTTTGGGCCTGCCGATCCCCAGAGTGACCATTATCCACACCTCCCATCTCCCACATGGACCTAGGTTGGACTCAAGCCACAGGAGGCGCTCGTCCCAGACACAGGAAATGGGTCTGTGTTCCCACCTTTGCACGAAGGTGGGCTGACTGCAAAGGCCTCTGGGTATGGAGGTGCTGCTTCCTCTTGCAGAGACTTTTACTTGCCACGGCCCAGGAGCCGAAGGCAAGGCAACCTGGAAATTTGAACTTGGGCATGAAAAAGAAGCGTGGAGGTCACTGTGTGTGTCAGAAACTGGATTTGGCCTCGGAACACAAGGGGCCAAGTCCCGTGTGTGCCCAACAGTGAAATGTAGCTGAAGCAGAACCAGGGATGCGTTTCAGGGCTGGGAGAGACAAAGGAGGGCGGAGCAAGGACACCCTCCTTCCTCCGAGGCCAATCCCACCCTGTCCTTTGGGACCTGCTGAGCCCTCCAGGAAAGTTTCTCTGACTGCCAGCCTGGTGATCTGGGGAAAAACAGGTGTAAGGAAGACGCAAGCAGACATTCCAAGTAAACAACCGGCTCCCCGGGACCAGGGAGGACAGGTGTAGTTGGGCACACCTGGGAAATCCTTCTAGACTGTGGCGGGGACACTCAAGTTCTGGGAGATGGCATGGGCATCCAGAGGAAGGGAAAGAAGGCGACTCAGCCCTGCCCCCCAACCCAGTGGGGGAACCAGACACTCGTACCAAGATAGGAGGGGGCGGGCATGTGTCCTCTGAATGGACCACTGCTACCAGACCTTCCCCAGTAGGTATAAGCCTTCGGTGGCTGGGGCTGTGTCTGTTTCGTCACTTCCTGAGTCTCCTCAGGGCACAGAGGGGTACTAGACAGAATATTATCAGTATAATAACAGCTCCTGTTGCACACGTGCCCGGAACTGTGCTGAGCATAGTTCCGACATCATCTACAATGGGTGAATTTTCCTCGAGTTACCTGAGAATATACTGGGGCTCAGAGAAGGGGCGTAAGCTTCCCGCAGCCCATGGCGGCCCAGCTGGTAAGGGGAGAAAGTGGGATTTAGACCCCGGAATGCTCACTGCTGTGAAGTACTAGGAAGCCTGCTGGCTGACGGGCGATTAGACAACACACCCACAAGGCAGAAACAAATGGGAAGAGAAGGAATGGGCGAACATGAATCCTGGGTTCGAGTCCAGATTCTGAAAACTCAGGTGAAGCCTTCCCTTCCTCCGACTCTCCAGTTTTATGGCTGTTTCCCACGGCCAACTGCATCTCTATGCCTTGGGTATGGAGCAAGAGTGGGAGCCGGAGACCCCAGCCCGCCCTCCCCACCAGCAAGCGCTCACTCCCTTCCCGCATTGCATACCCCCTCAGGGCCTGGAGCTGCTAGAGACCCTTTGAAAAACTTGGTAATCCATCCCAAAATATGCAGGGCTGTTGCTAGGGCAACCTGGCTGCCACATAG